ATCTGAATATTACACTTTGGCCCCCAAGTCTATCCTTATGCCACTATGGCCCAAGTAATTGGAACATTTAATCAATTTGATCCCTCTAAGTTTCTCTTTGTGCCGCAGTAGCCCAAGCATGTTTTAGTATCTTGTAATTAAGTCCTAAAATCATTGCAACTTCAATCATTGTTTGGCTCTTTCTTTATTTTTGGAATCTTTGAAGTGCTTAAACGATTTATTAGGTTCAAATGATTGAGTAGTGCTTGCTTTTGGGTCTTTAGTAGATGTTATGCTTGGGGATTGGATGATCATGCCTTTTGCCTTGGTCTTTAAGTAGTTTTGACTTCATTGAGTTGCAATTGAGGGAAAGTTTGATGTTTTGGTGGATTCAAATTGTTTAGTTTATGTCTTATCACTAAATTGGTGCATTAATCTTTTGTTTTTTGGTGATTTTAGCCTAAGTTAGTCTTTTCTTGGGTGACTCTAGCCAAGTTGAGTTTGTTTACTTCCTTAGTATCACCAACGGGGAGGTATAATCTCTTTTACCCCTTTTTGTTTCTTTCCTATGTGGACTAATGTGCTAATTGAAATTTGCATGTCTACTTGCTTTCCTAGCCTCTCCTTATTTCCTTTCAGTTATTTCATTTACTTTTAATTTTTATTAATGGGGTATGTGTACACCTCTTGGCTTGTAATAGATAGGGCGTAGTAAGTAATTTGGTCCATTTTCCCTTTCCCTTTTGTTTTAGTTAGCAAATGTAATGGTTGCATGCCTATGTGTTATATGTTAAATGCTTTATTAGGATTTTGCATCTAGTCAAGCATGCTAAGTGTTATGTGCTACGTGTTTATAAGTGATTCGCATGTCTACTCGCTTTTTATAGTGTGGATGAATGAAATGGATGAATGTACGTCACCACACTAGTCCAACGCTAGTTGTGGCTTCTTTTATCGTTTCCACTAGTCCAACGCTAGTCGGAATTCATAGGATGGGCTAGTCCAATGCTAGACCCAATAGGTTCTTTTTTCCTTTTTCATTAAGTGCATGATCACCACATATCACGCATTTTTCCTTAGTTTATCATTTGGTATGTTCCTCAAACCCCTTCCCCTTCACTTTAGGACTTGCATCTCATGCTAGTTAGGGTTCATTTGCGTGAAAATCCCCTCCTGATAAGGAAAACGAGCGAGTGTGGCTACTCGATAGCCTTAGCACGCTAGTTTTACCTTCTAATCCGAGGGAAAATTAAAATCATAAAACTAGAGGTCATCCCCATACCCGACTCGATGCATTCCTCTAAGTTCATACATTTTCATTTTCTCATTAAATTTTTTAATCCATATACCATATTCACACACCTATTCACTTCTTTATTTTTCACCTCACACATTGCACCTATCTTTTTACTTATATATACTTACTATTTTGGTTCACTTGCACACGAGCATTTATATTTTCATTCATTTGCACACAAACACTTTCAAATTGCACACATGCCCTTCTCTATACTTTGCACACTTACACTCTTATTTGAGTCCTCATTTGCATCATTCACGATTTTCTATGAGGTCCTTCTTATTGGCCTTCACAATTCATGTGAATGGGACCAAAAACCTCACGAGAGACATCGTAGAATTTAGGATTGCATTTTTTCGTTTTCGCATTCATATAGGCATAATCCAACATGCAATACATACCCTGGGTAGAGAGTTTAGGAAAGGTAAGGTTAAGTCGCGCAACTAGCCTTGGCTAGGTCAAAGGGGTGCCTTGGATTCTATCCTTGCCTTCCCCTTTGTCAAACGTGACTCCCGAACCTTTTTCTTTGGCTTACGTGGACTAGGAGTCGTTTTAAAAAGGGTTTATTACTACTTGGCTTTAAATCTCATTTTTAGGTGACTTGGTACACCTTAAATCATTACCAAGTGGCGACTCCAAACTTTTCTTTTCAAACCCTTTTTAAAACTATTTTTTGGGTCAAATCGTCGCTTTCCAAATCCCATTGAGACCCATGTCTTTTCAACTCACAAAAATCATTTTCCAATCACAATTGAATTAAAAACATCTTTCTCAAACCATTATTTTTATTTATCAAAAAATGGGGCGCGACAGTTGGCGACTCCACTGGGCACTACCTAAGTGGGTCCAAACTTTTGATTTAGCCATTCTTTTCCATTTTCTACCCTTATTATGCATTGCATTTGGATATTAGGGTTGCATCTTCCATTTTTAGGACCTTTTGTCTCACGTACGCATTCAACTACCCCCTCACTCACGTATGTATGATTGATTGGATGTATGTTTATCTCGCGCTTGCATTGCATCTGGGGGGGTGTGTGTCACCTTTTGAGCCTCGCGTGGTTCTCAACCCCTTTCCCTCAAAATAGGGAGCACTTCATACGTGCACGTTTATTTGTTGCTATCCCCATTTTATTTTATTTTCGTGGGCGTTTCCCACACCGCCTTGTAGGATTAGGATCGATCGCCTTGGGTAGGCGGCTGGTGTGCTCTGCGCCCATAGCGCTACCTAAGGGATCACTCGAGCCACCGATCAAAGGCCCTGGGAGTGATGACCCTTCGCCTTTAGGTCTGAAGGCTTGGGAGCCGAGACTTATCGAGTCTAGTTGCATTAGTGAGCCCCAGCCTCATGCATCCATATTAGACTCGCCTAGGGTAGAGTCGGCCTCACCTTTTTTAAAGCACATTAGGCACGAGGGAAGGGGTTCCACCCCTTTTACTTGCTTTATTGTACTTCTTTTTCTTTCTTAATTACTTCCAATATGTTACGTGTACTATCAATTGTACTAACTATTCTTGTGTTTTCTTGGCTTGCATTCATGTGCCTTAGCAATAAGAGGCTACTTTGGCACTCTTTTAGTGACCTACCACATTAGATAACTCACATGTTTAAATTTCAGTCATTACACTTAATTTTCAATAACTACATTTCATTTTTAGACCTCTTTCCCCCCGATGCATTATTTATGCCCTTTAGGCCATATTTGTTGCATATTTCACTGCTTTAAATAACTGGCATCACGCATAAACCATAGAAAGGGAATGCCACGTAGGGAATCCCGTGTTTAGGAATAAGCCGCCACATGTCTCGGATATTTAATCCAATGGGACTTACACGTTTACTATTTCTGCATTACCTAAAGGGTAAAATCCCGAGGTAAGGTACTAAAGTGAATTTCTTCCCCAGATGGCTCCGTGTAGAATGTTCAATCAGATACCTCGTGAGCTAGTAGATTGGAAGAACAATATGGCACATGAAGTGAACAGACTTTTCCCGTATATAGGACATTTACCTAGTCTCTTGAACATAACTCCGAATGTAGCCATTGTCCAAGCTTTGCTCGAGTTCTGGGATCCAGACAGCTCTGTTTTCCGATTTGGAGAGTGCGAATTAACACTAACCCTGGAGGAGATAGAAGGATTGTTACAAGTGCCTGGGAAAGGTCACCCTATGGTATACCCAATGAATGGCACCAGAGAACAATTTTGTAAGTTCTTAGGGTTAAAACAGTTTAGCATGAGTCAACACCCGGACGTAAGATCATGCCCGCTGGAGTTCTTATACAAGCGATTCAGGGAAAAGGAATCCTATGATCATCACCACGAGGACTTTTTCGTTAGTAGAGAACAGTGGGAAGAGAAACGAGTACTAGCTTTTGGGATAACTCTGATTAATCTACTCCTGTTTCCGAAAAAGCATGGGAAAGTTATGTTTTCAACGGTCAACATGGTTCAGAGTGTGTTTTTGGGAATTAGAGGAAAAACTCCTACCTTAGTACCTGTTATCATTGCTGACATTTTCGCCGCTGTTACTGAGTGCCGAAAGAAGAGAGGGTTTTTCTATGCATCCAACCTGGTACTTCAAATATGGGCGATGGAGCATCTGTCAAAAAGAACACTGAATCCGTTGGGATCGTGCCTTCCAACAGCAAATTGGGTTGAGTCGCACCGAGAGAGGGTTAGAAAATACTATCGAATAGAGTCTCCGAGTTTGTTTATTCAGGAATTCAATGCTTTGACTTCGGATAAGATACAATGGGTTCTTGATTGGACGAAGGTAAGGGATCCAGCTTTCAGGACAACACAACTTGATTTTATCCCGTTAGCAAGCACCGGTGGATTGATTGTGTATGTGCCACAACGAGTTATGAGACAGTTTGGGTATCCGCAGCGAGTGCCGACCATACAAAGGATGGGGAGCATCGAACTCAATACAGTCACCGAATGCCAGACTATGGTGCTGGAAGCTTGGGGGAATCTGTGTAGTCTGGACAACCTGCATTTGGACCAAGTGAATAAAGTAGAGCCTAAGGTCGTCTTAGAGTACAACGAATGGATCAAATCAATAATGGAACAAGGAAGAGAAAGGGCATCGTTGGTCTCCCTTAGTCTTGAGGAGCAGAATGAAAAGTTGAGGAAAGAGTTGGAGAATCGTCAGTTGCAGATCATGGTAGCCGATCAAGCATTGGAAGACGCCCGCTCACAATTGAAGAAAGAGGCCAAAAAGACCGAGAACTTGGAAAAGGCATTGAGTGCATTTGGCAAAATCCAAGATGAAATTCGGAAACTTAGTATCGGGAGTTCTAGGGAGTCCCAACACACTAAACTAGCTAGACATGAAGACTTTGTAAGAATGGTCAGTCGAACCATCAATGAAATTGTAAAGAAGGATTAAGCTTATCCATGATTAATGAGAATTCCTGTTTTTATATTCACTTACAGGTTTGAAAAATGGGATTTACCCCGAAGGCTTGCATCATGCTAGGCCTACCCTTGGCACAAAAAAGGGCTCCCCAATAGGACATGCATCCGAATTATTTTACTTTTTACTAACTCCTGTCTTTTTTTCTTTTATTTTTTCTTCTTTTTTTGGCAACAGTCAATCAAGAAGGGCATCTAATAAGGGTTTTCCTACGTCTCCAGGTAATATTTAAATATAGCTACCCGAAGAAGCCCCATTATCACCCGATCGCGTAGCCGAGCTTCGAGGGAAAGTGTAAACATGAGTACCCATCCGGAATCATCTGAAAGGCCCGCAACATCATCAACTGATTTGGCAAATCTGGGAGCTCAGCTGAGCGAGGTTCTCAACCGGTTTAATGAGCTAAGTGTTGAAATGATGGCCCAACGGCATGTAATCGATCAATTGGTAGCTAGTGGCGCTAGCGGTGAGCAGCAACATGCACCCTTACCCCCGGGCCAATCTGAACCAATACTCTTACCATATGCTCAAATCTCTGTTTCTTCACAAGCTATGAATCCACCCGAAGAAACCTTTACTTATCCCACTCATGGCCCATCACCTACATATGCACCTCACATCCAAACTAATCCTCCTCAAGTCCAAATTTCCCAGAATTATCCGCCCATTACTGTGAGCATGCCTTTCGAACCACAAGGACCACATTATTACGCCACTGCTGAACCATTCACCCTAGATACCGCCGTTCAAGGGAAAACTGAAGTTGAGGGGTCGTCCGTGCCCGTGGACAAGAATTTACTAAAGAGATTGGATCGGTTCGAGGAGTTTATAAGGAAAAGCCAAGGTGTGAGCAAACAAGGAGGTTTGGACTACAACGAGCTGTGCCTGTTTCCGGATATGCAGTTGCCGGTGGGTTTCAAAGCACCCAAATTTACCAAGTACGACGGAACGGGGAATCCCAAAACCCACCTTCGGATGTTTGCAAACAAGCTGGGAAGACCAATAGACGATGAGAATCTGCCGGTACGCTTATTTCCCGAGAGTTTAGAAGGCGACGCGTTGGATTGGTATTCCAATTTAAAGCCTGAAGATATGAAATCTTGGATGGATTTATCGACTGCTTTTGTGAGGCAGTATGAATATAATTGTGAGCTCGCTCCGACAAGGACCACATTGGAGGGGACCAAGAGGAAGCCATCGGAGGACCATAAGACATATGCGAAGAGATGGAGGAAATTGGCCGCCAAAGTGGAGCCGCCTATGACTGAAAACGAGATTGTTCGCACGTTTATTAAAGCTCATGACCCACCCTACTTTGAAGAGATTTTTCGTATGACTGGGTGTTCCTTTGCTGAAATTGTTAACAAATTGGAAGAGTATGACGAGTTTATAAGGGCAGGCAAGATTGTTAATGTTTCCGCTTTAAAGTCACAGTTGGAAGCTATGCAGAGTCAGAGTGGCAGTAGTAAAAAGGCTCAATTTAAGAAGAAAGATGAGGAAGCCTCTTTTGTCTGGGACCAGGGTTTTTCTTCTCGGCCTAGATACCAACAAAATCCCACCTACTCACCTCGTTACTTATATCAACCACACCCACGCCCTGTTTACAATACCACTATCAACCACCCCCGTCCTCGACCAAATTATCCAAACACACCATCGACGCCATTTCATGTTTCTCCACCAAACTTGCAAATTAGACCTCGCCCTCCTTTTAACCCAAGACCTATTCCATCTCCTAACCCAAATTACCAGCACCAACAAACCCGTGACACCCAAAATCCAACCCCATACCGAACCTTTACCAATCTAGGTCGACCTGTTGACCAGTTATATGAGCAATTAAAAGCTGCTGGGAAGATTGGTACGGTACCCCCTAAGACCTATCCCAGGGGATTTCCCCCTGGTTATGATCCTCAATCGTTTTGCGCTTATCATTCGGGATCCCCTGGACATCCGACGGCCAATTGCTGGGCACTTAAGCATAAAATTCAAGATATGATTGATGCTGGAGACATAATTCTGAGAAGGAAAGATGAACAAGGGCCAAGTGTTAGCAACAATCCTTTTCCTCAGCACAAGGATACTGTGGGAACTATCACCATAGAGGAAGGGATTGAGGACCCTACACAGTACATTGTAGACGAGGCCGAGATCATGGGGGTCATTGGAGAACCGTTTATATTGGAGGAGGAAGCCTATAAAGTTGAAGAGAATACTGATCCTTTTATTTTGGAAATGATACCCTTTGAATGTGAGCCTTCGGAACTCGTGGTACTTGAATTGCCTGAGCAAACTCCTGTTCTTAATTTACAAGAGGTCCCGTGGAATTATAGCGAACCTACACTATTAATTGGAGAGAGGAAGGTGCCTAAGAAGGAAGTGGATGCCATCACTAGATCAGGGAGAATCATGGGGGAGCCTGCAGTTGATGAGTCCTCAAAAGCAAAAGAAGGTGCTACACCAACGAAACCCATAGTGACGGATGAAGAGGCTTTTAATTTCCTTAAGATGTTAAAGAAGAGTGAGTATAAGGTAGTCGAGCAATTGGACAAGATGCCCGCTCAAATTTCCATATTAAATCTGCTCTTAACCTCAGAACTTCACCGAGAGGCTCTGGTCAAGGTCTTAACTGAGGCTCAAGTGCCTAAAAATATTCCAATTGACAAATTCGCCAATGTAGTTGAACATGTTTTGGCTTCCAGTCGGATTTCTTTTTCTGATGAAGATCTAACTGCCGAGGGGATTGGACACAACAAAGCTTTGTATATCTCAGTCCGCTGTAACGGGAAACTCTTGCCAAAGGTTCTGATAGACAATGGCTCCGCTCTCAATATCTGCCCTTGGAATACTTTGGTTAAGTTAGGATTTCAAGAGACTAAATTGCGGCCGTCAACCACTGTGGTGAGAGGATTTGATGGCGCAAAAAGTGAACCAATGGGGGAGGTGGATTTAGTGATAGAAATCGGACCTGCCCAGTTTCAGGTCATGTGCCAAGTCATGAATTTTTCAAGTGTTTATAACATTCTCCTTGGACGGCCTTGGATTCACACCTCGGGCGCTATACCCTCTTCACTTCATCAGTTGCTGAGATTTGTGGTGAATGATCAATTGATCACAGTTTTTGCGGAGGATGATTGCACAATGATTGTTAACTCTGGACCAAATGAGGAGGATAGTAAAACATCTCTGTTTTCTTCTCACCATGTGGCTGACATTGTTTCCGTAGGATGGATATCTAAGGAGAAGCCCGTGGTGGAAATGAATCTGCCAGAAGCTAGTGTTATGATGGCTAAAGAGATGATTTGAGGAAGATATGAGATGGGCAAGGGCCTCGGGCGCAACCTGCAGGGAGTTTTGGAGCCAATAGAACTTCAAGGAAAGAAGGATACTTTCAGATTAGGGTTTCAACCTACTGCCAGGGATAAGAAAGAAATGATGAATCGTAAAAAGGCGGAGAAGGAAGGAAGGCAGCTTATCATGAATGTCCCACCATTGTATTGTACTTTTCCTTACCCATCAGAGGTGATCAAATCTGAAGTAGACCCGATCGAGGAAGTGGAGGTTGGGTTCTCTGAGCTATTTGTGGGGGTTATTTCTGAAAGGGAGCCGTTGGAGGAGCCAGGATTTCCAGAGGTGCCTATTGAAGCAATGAAGAACTGGACCCGTGATCCTCTTCCCTCCTGCAGGGAATTTCGGTAAATTAGGGGATTGCCTTTGGTCGACATGAGACAAATCGTTTATACTACTTATCTTTTGTCTTTCAAGTTTGTAAATAGTTTTCAATCAAAAGTTTTCCAATGTAAGTCTTGCGTAAATTTTCTTGTTAAGTAGCATGTCATGATGTTATCCTTTACTTTGAATTTCAATGAAATGCACAGTGTTTATGGCCCAAATGGATTTAACTTACTTCCTATTGTACTCATTTCATTTTTTTTCAGATGGCCAGAAATAAAACACATTGACCCTTTGGATATCACTATTCTGGAATTTGACGATTGTAATCTCGATATCTCTCACGAATTTGAAATTTTGGAATCAGAAATTCAAGACGAGAGCGATAACGAGGGAGAATCTGAATCTTTATTAAAGGATTTTGAACAATATGAGGAGAAATCCAAACCGAACTTAGAAGAAACAGAAGCTGTTAATATTGGCACTGAGACTGAAGTTTAGGAGATAAAAGTTAGCATTCATTTGAATAAGAAACAGAGAAAAGAGATGATTGAGTTCTTGACCATGTTTCAAGATGTATTTGCTTGGTCCTATGATGATATGCCTGGAATTTCAACAGATATAGTGGTCCACCGATTACCGACTGATCCAAGTTTTCCACCAGTAAAGCAGAAACCTCGCAAGTTTAAGCCGGACATGAGCCTCAAAATTAAGGAGCAAATCGAGAAACAGCTCAATGCTAGAATTATTATGGTGTCTCATTATCCCATTTGGCTTTCAAACCCTGTACCTGTTCCGAAGAAAAGTGGAGAAGTGCGAGTATGTGTCGATTACAGGGATCTTAACAAGGCCAGCCCGAAAGATGATTTTCCATTGCCGAACATTCATATTCTTTTGGATAATACCGCAGGGCATGAGATTGAATCATTTGCTGATTGTTTTGCTGGATATCACCAGATCTTAATGGCTGAGGAGGATAGGGAGAAAACTGCTTTTATCACGCCATGGGGGACATTTTGTTACCGAGTAATGCCGTTTGGACTAAAAAATGCAGGCGCTACTTATCAAAGGACTATGACCACCCTTTTTCATGATATGATTCATAAGGAGATGGAGGTTTATGTGGACGATATCATTATCAAATCCGAGAGAACGGAGGATCATTTGATTGACTTGGGGAGGTTATTTGAAAGATTGAGGAAATATGATTTAAAACTAAACCCTGCAAAGTGTGCATTTGGGGCCCCTGCCGGAAAGTTATTGGGATTCATTGTCAGTAAGAAGGGTATTGAGATAGATCCGGCAAAGATTAAGGCCATTCGTGAGATGCCAGTGCCAAGAACGCAAAAAGACGTGAAGAGTTTTTTAGGAAAGATTAATTTTATTGGGAGATTCATTGCCCAATTGACCCATACGTGTGAGCCTTTGTTCAAATTATTAAAGAAAAATGTGTCCTTGCAATGGAATGAGGAATGCCAGCAAGCGTTTGATAAAATTAAAGATTACCTGTTGCACCCCCCGGTTTTAGTGCCACCCAAACCCGGGCGACCTTTGATCATGTATCTATCGGTGTTGGACGAAGCTATGGGGTGTGTATTGGGACAACATGACGAATCGGGGAAGAGGGAGCAAGCTATCTATTACCTTAGTAAGAAGTTCACTGCGTATGAGGCCAACTATTCTTTTCTTGAGAGGAGTTGCTGTGCTCTAGCTTGGGCCGTCCAAAAGTTGAGACATTACTTGCTCAGTCATACTACTTACCTTATTTCCCGCTCCGACCCTTTGAAATATTTGTTGGGAAAGCCTATGCCGACGGGACGTATGGCGAAATGGCAGATGATTCTTTCGAAATTTGACATTATTTTCACTACTCAAAAGGCCATCAAAGGCCAGGCTGTGGCCGACCATTTAGCTGAAAATCCGCTGAAAGATGACTATCAACCACTTCACACTTATTTTCCGGATGAGGAGGCCTTGTTCGTGGGTATAGCAGAAGATATGAATGATCAATGCCCGGAGTGGAGGTTGTTCTTTGACGGTGCATCAAATTCCTTCGGGGCCGGTATTGGAGCTGTTCTAGTATCGCCTGAAGGAAAGCATTACCCTGGTTCGGCCAAACTCCGATTTTCCTGTACTAACAATATGGCTGAATATGAAGCTTGCATTTTTGGGTTAAAAATGGCATTAGAAATGGAGATTAAGGATTTACTAGTATTCAGTGATTCAGATTTGCTTGTACATCAGACTCTTAAGGAGTGGATTACTCGGGATTCAAAGATCTTGCCCTATCATTGCAACTTACTGGAGTTGGCCAATAAATTTAGGAGTTTGGAGTTTCGGCATATTCCCCGTGTCAGAAATGTCTTCGCCGATGCATTGGCCACTTTATCTTCAATGATCCAACATCCGGATGAGTTAATAATTGAACCCATCCAGATTCATCTACAAGGGAAACCTGCTCACTGCCTAGTTGTGAAAAAGTCTTCCGATGGCCGTCCCTGGTACAATGATATCAAGGAATTTCTCAAAACAGGATCCTACCCATCTGGGGCTGATATGACTGCCAAAAGTTTCTTGCGTAGATTATCATCTAAATTCTTCTTGAATGGAGAAGTAGTATACAGAAGAACGTCGGATTTGGGCCTTCTGAGGTGTGTTGACGAAGATGAGGCGGAATACCTGATGAAGGAAGTACATAGTGGAGTGTGTGGATCACATATGAATGGCCATTTATTAGCAAAGAAGATCATGAGGACTGGATATTTTTGGCTTACTATGGAGCATGATTGTATAGTTTTTGTTAGGAAATGCATCAAGTGTCAATTGCATGGAGATGTTATGCACACTCCCCCTACAGAATTACACAGTATGACTGCTCCTTGGCCATGTTCGATGTGGGGTATGGATGTGATTGGAGCCATTGACCCTCCCGCTTCAAATGGGCATCGGTTTATTCTGGTGGCAATTGAATACTTTACTAAGTGGGTCGAAGCTGAGTCTTATAAACATGTGACTAAGAAGGTGGTAACAGACTTTCTAAGAAAGAATATCATTTGTCGTTTCGGAGTGCCGGAGACATTAATCACTGATAATGCCAAAAATCTCAACAATGACATGGTGGATGGTTTGTGCGCACAGTTCAAAATCAAGCATCGAAACTCCTCTATTTATAGGCCACAAATGAATGGAGCAGTAGAGGCTGCGAATAAGAACTTGAAGAAAATAATCCGTAAGATGATTGAGAGACACCGTGATTGGCATGAAAAGCTCCCTTATGCGTTAATGGCATATAGAACTGTTATTCGGACTTCTACTGGGACGACTCCCTACAATCTCATGTATGGAATGGAAGCAGTTTTACCAGCCGAAGTCGAAATCCCTTCTTTGCGTATTTTAATGGAGGCCAAACTGGAGGAGGCTGAATGGATTCAACAACGTCATGAGCAGTTGTCTTTAATCGATGAGAAAAGGTTAAATGCCATTTGTCATGGTCAATGCTATCAAAAAAGGGTAGCCCGTGCTTACAATAAGAGGGTCAGACCACGGGTGTTCACAGAAGGAGATAAAGTGTTGAAACACATTTTGCCAGCACAAGAGGAAGCTAAGGGGAAATTTGCACCAAATTGGCAAGGCCCTTTTATTGTCCAGAAAGTTTTGCCCGGAGGAGCGCTCATTCTTGCAGAAATGGATGGGCAAGTGTTCCCTCAACCAATCAATTCAGATATGTGTAAGAAATTCTTTATATGATAAATGAAATCTTCCTTTTAGGGTTAATGTGAGGAACGGATTAAAAGTCAGGCCTTCTTCCTTCCCAATCAAACATTCTATCCCTAGTTGTCCCTTTTGAGCCTTCAGAGCAAATTATTTCGTTTGGCATCCCCTGAGAATCGCAAACCCCATACTGGGGCAAGTTTTGAGTCGAAAAAGCTAAGAATGAGAAAGAAAGGAAAAGAAGAGAAAAGAAAAGAGAGGATTCAAAAGGAAAAGCTATAAAGGAAAATGAAAAGAAAAATGAAAAGAGGAAGATCTCGATTGAGAATAAACTGGGGCAATTATTAGTAAGGTTAATTTGAAAAATGCGATCTCAGATCATTTAAACCACACTTGAAATCCGCTTTCAAGCCTTAATCTTTTCTAAGCACCCCACCAGACCCCATTACAAAAACCTAAAAGTCCTGACTTCTGTTCTTTATACTGCCTTTTTAGGACAATTTCTAATCAAGTGGCACATGATGTCAAAAACATCTTCGCCTATTTTGCAAGGGAAGAATTGTTATACTGATGCCATTATTTCTTAAAACACATCTCCAGATTGATATGGGCGATAGACAAGATTGGTTTGCTAGGTGAAAACCCGCAAGGGCACCTAAAAAAAAAAAGAAGGAAAAAGAAAAGGAAAAAGAAACACAGGAAAAGAAAATAATGGGCGGGGGCAACCTTAGTGAAAACCCGAAAGGGCGCTGAGGTAGGGTTTCATAAGGAAAAGTAAGTTTGGATTTGAAGAGCTGGTGACTTAGTTCATTGGAATTTCTCCTCACATTGTGGTTCTGTTGTCAAGTATTGGAACTCCGAAGAGATGATGTCCAAAGGGTCAAGTGTAGCACTTTGTTCGAAAGCCAAAGTTTTTGACTTAT